AACTAGAAGTAGAAGTACAGAAAATTTACTGAATAACATTTCAGATAAATTCAAAGGTTTTTTTTACACCATGGTCCAAAAATTGGTCATGTGAATAAGTACATATAATTTAAGAAAATATTTATATAGGGGATTTTTTAAACTTTCAAACAATGCTGTTAAGTTTTGTCTTGACAAACTTTTTTTAATTACACTTATTGGGGGTATATTTTCTTTGTATTTCAGTTCTTTACAGTTCTACTTCCTTCAGTTCTAATGCAATGTTCTAATCCTATATGGGATTTCAATTTAAATCAGGAACTAAATGGCATTTTAAAAATCATTAGCAAATAATTTGCAGGAGTTGATAATATCTTTGGGTCATGGCAACCACAAAACATTTTCTTCATGAGGATTTTGGTGTTCACCCTCATCAGGAACCTTTCCTCTTGGTGGTGAGTCTATCCTTGCTTACCATTTCCAGGGAATTGAATTAGCTGCTCTAAGAAGCTCTTGAGAACAATCTGTTTCTGATTCCATAAACTGCATTACCATTATGAGTCCAAACCAGGCATGAAATCCTGGAACTCAGGTGGATAATGATACTGCAACAACCACTGCCACCAACAAAAATCTGATTTGCAGACTAGTGGATTAAACTGACACATCTTCCCCTAAAATATCATTACATCACCCTAGTCATTTTTCTAAATAATCATAGCATACCTAATAGTTGGCAGTGGTCAAGCATTTTAATTTAAAATAAGTGAAGTGAAACACTAAGTGAAATTACTTTGGCAATGGGAGCATAAGTTTCACAGCAACTTGATGGAAGTGCCAAAAGCACAAAATCTCACATACTCACATGACTGACACAGGCACACATCCATCCACATGCATATTTAGCTTGTTGCCTGATATATGCTAATTCATGCACATAATGCAGATTACTGAGATAGTTATCGGGCTTAAGCTCTATGAGAACTGTTTGTCCCCAAACAAGCTAACAAGTGAGCTGGAGCAACAAATATATGACTTCATTCTCCCGTTCAGCATTGCGCTAAGTAACAAAAGTCAGAGAAACAAATATATTAACAAAAACTGCAAGAACTACCCCAGTAATTGGTGGCACTGAGGGTGTGAACTGCATGCAGATGTAAGGTTGAACCACAGAGACCCTTGTTACAGTACATTCAGGCACAAATCCGATGGAACTGGCCACTCCTGAATATTAATAAAAAATCCTTTCCTTTAGAAATATTGAAGAATGGAGCTATTCAAAGAGTAGTTATTCAAAGATGACTCATAGCATTAACGGGGGGAATAAATTTAGTAATAAAAAAAAAAGTCTGCTAGTGTGCGGCCTCTCTAGAGGACGCTCAGGAAGCTCCTGGAGGCCATCAGGGCCAGTGGAGTTGAAGGAGAGCAATCGGCACTTTGAAAGGAAGACTAATTAAAAAGCAAAAACACTTGCTTAGTCAGACAGGACTTTTTTTCTTCATGTCATACTTCTGACTGTATAAAGAAACTGTTTAATTGTGAATATTAGTTGGCTTAGCACTTAAACATAAGGTTCTTTATTGGCATCGATGGTTCCTTTAACATACATGGAACCTTTCCATTCCACAAAAAGGTTCTTTATAGTGGATCAGGGTTCTTAAGATTTTAAGAATGTTCTTCACACTAAAGGGAAAAAAGTGTTCTTTTAAGAACTGTTTGGGAAAATGGTTCTTCTATGGCATTGATTCAAAACCTATATTTGTATATGCATGTGTGTATGTGAGCTGCGGTGGCTTCTGGAATATTTCATAAAACTATTGTCATAGGAAAAAAGGCATACAGTGATCATATCTCCTCATATCTTTAGGTCAGTGGGCCCTGTGCTGTAATATTTGACAGAAGAAACTTAAATCAGCCCAACATAAAATAAATCCTTTAGCTTAATATATAATCCCTTCCAGCTTCAAGAATTTTGTAATTTTTCCAATCCAAATACATTCCTGGTTTTTCACCATGTTCGAGAGAATCCCCAATAGTGGAAACCAGGGGGTATAAGGATGTACAATTAAATAAATATTATATTTTGGCCAAAGAAATCGGATAAACGAGAGAAACATTCACCACTTTTTGTTTTTCCATATTTGAAAATGTAGTCATGTTTTTCTTTTCATTTTCAAAATTGTATTTTTAATCATAGTTTTTCCAATGATATTTAACAACCTACAATGTTTTTTTTTTTTATGCTGACTGTTAATTGTATATGAACAACACTGTAAGTTATGAATTCTTGCTGACATGCAATTGCATTATGCTTGTACTGAACTGATCTTGGAGTGAGATAGAACACAGACTTTGTAGCTTAGAGGGGAAAAAAATGAATAAAAGTGCTCCAGGTAAAATCATATACTTCTCTGATCCCTTCTTCTTGTTCTAGGCATCTCCTGCATATGCCCCTAGTATACACTCCAGATTGTTAACACTAGCGTGTCTAATTTGTAACCCTGTTGGCATCCCTCAAAATTCCTTAATGAAGCCAGCTAAACTGTCAGACTTATTAGGCTTGGCTCTGGAGAAACAGACTTGTGATTTACAAATCCCCTGGGGAAGTATGGTTTACATCACTTGCCACTAGTTCTCAATTACTTCAGTATCATAGTACATTCCTGAGGCTGAGCTGTCTTTCACTACAGAGAGAAGTGCCCACCATTCTGCATCTAGAAACATCACTACTCTTAGTTGGCTGCTTGTTTTTACCATAGATGGCTATGTACTTATTTTAACCATTTCACAACAACATTCACAATCTTGTCCTGACTGAACCTGCCAAGACTACGGGGAAGTTAAGATTCAGTTAAAATGGTGAAAGACATATAAAACAAAACAGTAAATCGAGACCACGCCCCCTATTAGCCCATGCAAACATTAAGAAAAAAAGCAATGTAAAACAAGTCTAAGTATATATGTCCGTTTCATTGTAATAAATAACGAGCAAGGGAAAAGAAATACACTCATTATTTGCCACATCTACTAAGTAAATCTGGATCAAACTCTTTTCTTCAAACAGCACAATATTTTTAGTGGCACTTTCTTGTTACCACTTTCTAAATTGCCACTCTGTCTTTATTCCTGATTCATTCCTGCTGAAGAGTGGTTTTCACAATAGAATATTATGCACATTCCAATAAGTCACTTTGGCAGTAAGACAAGGTGTACAAAAAGTATACAAGAAAAATCTATTTATGTTAATGCCAATGCATTTCTGCATGCCTCTGAAAGCATTTTAAACAGTAGTTGAATGGTATGTCTTCAGTGTTTGCATTTACATTTAAAACAAGATGATTTAATTCACTGAGCAGTCATTTAAATACCATTCAGTTCTTGCAGCACTTGTGAAATTCTGTGAAAGTAGTCTGGAGGCTTTCCTGAAATATGGTAGGACTAATCTGGGTAAACCTTTTTGCTGTGCTAAAAAAAAAAAGACAAACAGTTTATTTTATGGTTCAGTTGGTACAAGGTGTCAGCAAAAAAAGCAGTACGCATATATTGTCAATACAGACCTGTTGGTGCAGCTTACAATGAGAGTAAAGCAGAGATTAAACCTATTAAACACTGTGAAATTTGTGCTGTGTTTGTTACATAATAATTACATGGTAATTACCATGTCAAATACCACATTACAGAGCATTCCCTTAGTGCCTAGTTATATACAGTATAGAGGTGGAAAAGAATTTCTGAATGTAAAGAATTGTAGGAAGGTGATACAGACGATGCTGTGATTTAATCAGGTCGAAGACAAAGGATTAAACATCAGAAGGTGTTAGGGAGTAGACAGCGACACTTTAGAAGGATTTTAGGGTTAATTACACTTGCCTTCCTGATATGAAATATATGAAGAAGTCTTGAGTCTTTAGGTTAAAGCCGTGTTACAAACTTTCTCTCGAAACACATCCATTCACACTCTCAAAACCAGTATGCACTCAGACATTCAGTCACACCTACACACTCATCTCATTTATAGATGACACCAAGTTCAAAAAGTCACATACACAAATGTTCATTTAAAAAGGAATCAGATTATCCGATGTCCTCTATATCTCTCCTAACAGAAGCTCACCTCGCAATACACCTAAATAGCCTTGTATCAACTTGCCAGGTCCATTTCCTCAATCTCTGTTTTTTCCTCCTTTTCAGCCCCTAATGGATGTGAAAACGCAACTGCATATCCTGGAGATATGCTGAGTTTATATTTTGTCTTAACGAGGTTTAAAGCAAATAATAGTGCTCTCGCCACATGTGACGACACACTTTGATAAAATGAAAATGCAAATGGGTGAATCACACCCTGACAAGTTACTTACTTATTCGGTCAGTCAAAGCTCTGCGTGTCTCTCTCGAAGGCAGGTCTTCTTTATTGTGTCTGACAGCCCCAAAACTGTCCTTCTCCACCCCCTAAAATCCACACTTTACCTAAAAACAGCATTCATCACTGTTCCAGAGTCCTTCTAGTCTATCAGCGCGTGAGATCGGAACCGTTGAAACCCATGGGAGGGAGAATCGCGGTGGCTGCCGTCTGCCAAAGGAGCTCCGCTAAGACCGTGCGCATTAAAGACACCTGACCGTCACAGACAAAGTGAACTAGTGACACACTTCCATGCACCGCGCTGATGAAATATCGCAGTGATGTCTCCCTCTCTCCCGTGTCTCTTTTTTTCCCACCTCTCTACTAAAGCGCAGCAGGAGCGGGCTGTGGAAATTCACACCAGCGCTTGCTGAAACCCCTGGCAGAATACATCACCACTTTCCCTTTATGAGTCACAATGCACACACACACACACACACACACCTCTGATCCGTTCCTACCTGCCACACGCAGAGTGTCTCAAACGAACACGCACTTTTAATCGGTTTCTTTTACCTTTACCTCCATGTACTGGCAGTTTAAATAGTCTTAACTCTATCACGAACACACACACCTCACGGCATAGGTACGGCTTACGTGCTCAACGCGTGCGGCTGGTTACCTGTGGCTGCTGTTCTTGATGCCATAAGGATCAATGTCCCTGTGATCAGCGTCTGAGTGATCAGCTAAGGGGAAGAGGGAACAGCCAGCACTCTGTCTCCACGACAACGCCCGGCAGATGCCACACCTCCAGTTCAGGCTCCTCAAGAACAATAAGCGTTTATCGCCATCCTCCCTCTCTCTCTTCTTCCTTTCCCATCCGCTGCTTCCCGCTGTAAAGCCGCGCTCAGTCAGAGAGAGTGACGCGCTTGTGTGTGACGTCTTTCCAAAAGCAAGGATTCTGTATGTGTGTCTGTTAGACTTGAGTTCCACAAGGGGATTAGGCACTTTTCATCTTCATGACGCACACTAGAAAGAGTGAAAGAGACCGGAGATGGAGAGACAGAGGATGGGGTCGTCATGGAGATATTCGCCCATGAAGGCAATGTAGGGTGAATGACATGAGATAGAAATAAAGCAGGGGCATTATTAAAGCCCTACGACACAACCGCATGGCACTTTTGATTCAGTTTCGCATAAGAGAAAAGAACTAACTAGCTGAAAAGGCACTGGTGCCGATTTGCATGCACATATTCTCGCTTTCTCCTCTTGAGCTTTACTCGTGTAACCAGCTAGCCCTCGGGGAGGCCCTTCTACCGCTCTATCGTGCGTCTGACTTAATGCTCCAGCCTTCAGATTAAAATAGCTGCAGCCAAATGCCTTAAACTCGCCGCCTTTTCTAAGATTACAAAGCACTCGCCTTGTCCAGCAACGTGAGCTTCAATACGAAACCCTGCCGAGTGGACAAAGTGAAGGCTGATTCCCTTATGGTACTTTAGGTAACACAAAAATGCCATGTCTAATTCCTATTAACATGGTGTAGATGGCAATCTGCCGTTGGGAGTATGACAGGCTCTTCATACATACTAAACAAAGGACGCTTCTGCCTGTAATTGTGCACAATGTAGTGGGTGTTATAATTAAGCCACTCCCCATCAGGTTTAAGCCTCGCTAACATGAAAATAATTGACTGAGAAGGGGTTGTCGGCCATACAGATGAAACCTTGATGTATATGATCTGATAGATCATATACATCTATCATGATGTATGTTATGAGTTAGTCAACGGTATCTGGGGCGTCAATGTATGCAGCATGTGCTCTGTCGAATGCCAAATGTGTTTTCAAAGGTGCAGCTGTAATTGTAGAGCTCTATCATCTGATTCTGTCATGCTGATCTGATATCAAAGAGATGAAAGGTTACTGTGATTGCACATTCCAGGAGCTGGAATCCCACAAATGCAAAGCCGGATACACCCGGAGACAATTACTGTGAAGATCGGGCAAGCTAGGCTTTTTACTAGTAATCGTAAGAGTCAAAGACAATTGTATTCTGTTTGGTGAGAGGAAAAGTAAGCTACGAACTATTACTTTTATGTGTCTGAAAGTATGTTCGCTTCCGACTTGTGTAATAATAAAGAAACGTTACATTCACACTGAAGATTAATACAGAGTCACTCCTCTTTTGACTGCTCAATCTTGTTCTGTACCCACTGAATTTGGTTATTTATAAGAGGGACAACTGCATTCTACACCTAAACTCACAGGTAATTACAGGTAGTTGTAACCAATTTTATATGAATCCTAAAAAGATGTGTACAGAACAGAACGAACTAGTTGTTAATGCAGTAATGCTTCTCTCTCTTTAGGAAACTGACAGCCTGTCGATGTGGGTCTTCTTTCACAGCGAGCAGTGCTGGCAAATTACAGAGACTGAGGTAGCCTACGTGTCTTGACTCATTCGCAAATTTTGACATCCACACCTGTCTCTCTTTGCCAGCTCTGTGGTCTGGGTGATCCATTACTGTCCAAAGAGAGCATGCTGTTTTTAAAAAAAGGAGCTGAATGAAATGAAAAACTTTTGAGATGATGAATTACCTCTGGTTGCTAATATTACTTTGGTCAAAAATAGCCAAACAGGCTAATCTGCTAGCATCCATGTTTATTGTTAACAGCCATGAGACAGTTCGGGATGTAGGGGATTTAGGCCTGTTCACACCAAGGAAGATAACTATAATGATAACTAAACAGTTTTAAACATTGTAATTCTATGAGAATAGGAACTCCAGACTACAACTACAACAGTAGCAACACGGATCAAAACTGTTTAAATCACTTGCAAAGCAGTTTTTCCAGCTGATGAACGATAAAAACACTGACAGCCAGTCGGATCCACACAACTTTAAATGGCTCAAGCATTTAAATCTGCAGACAACAACTGCAGCGCACGCTTATAATAAACAGAACATTAGCATATTGGTTAGATGCTAATATAGACTGTTAAGCTATTATTCTTGGTATGAACAGCCCTTTTCTCCTGAATTTTAACACTTGTAACTACTAAAAGTAAAACTTTTAAAAAAAATGCTCTTTTTCATTATGAAAAAGAAGAGCATTGGTGGGACTATCTGGTAGAGCATTTGCAGATTGTAAGGTAGTGTTAAGGAAACCTATTTGAAAACAATAACAACAGTTTTTACAATTCCAGTTTGTTTTAGTGGCATGCAGAAATGACATATAGGTTCTGATTCACCGTCACTTGCTAAAATAGACAACTGAATGACTGACTTTATGCACTGAACTGACAACATTTGAAGAGACAATTGCTTTACTACTTCTTTATGAATTAAAAATGAAAATTTCTAAAGTAAACAAATGTAAAAACAAGCTATTTAATTATGCAGGAGACGCTTTGATGTTTCTTTGCATGTTTGATCATTCCAGGGGTCTTTGTTTGAAAGCATCAATAGATACGCAGAGATGCGACGGCGCAATTTGACACGAAATAAAGGAGCCTGGAGTGAGATGCATTCATTACGTCTCTTCACGCGCCTGCCGTGCAAAAAAGAAGAACCTAGTGAGAATCGTGCAGCGCTGTGTGTCAGAGTTTAAGTGTGAACAGAAGAACACACTTCCTCAACTCTCTCACACACACACACACACACACACACACACACACACACACACACACACACACACACACCATATGTATAGCCGTTCACTGGCCAGTCGGTTGCTATGGGAAACCATCAGAGCACATCAGAACGAGCCCTCGAGGGACTACTGCCACGAGCAATCCTATCCATTGAAACACACTTAACAGCGTGTGTGACTGTGACAGAGTGCCGTTTCCAAGATGCGGACAATTCGGTTTCTCACCCGTTGCCTCATAAAAGAAATAGAACCTCATCTGTCAGAGGTCTAATAACAGCCAGGAAAACATTTAGGGGTCATGCTGCGCCCGGATATTGAGCGAGACATTTTAGAAAATGGAATAATTATTGGGCAGTACAAATATAAATCTAAAGAACAAGGCAAATAGATACAAATCTGTACATGAATCACCCTTCAGTAAGACCCCCGGACTGTGATGATTTATGTAGCATTTTGTAAATAGCGAGCATTCATACCTGAGCATGGCATAGTGAATTCAGGAATAGCCTACTGTTCAACATTCATTTTCCCCCAAGCAAATGTGCTATTATATTTCAACAGACATAGAACAGAAACATACGATTCCTCAAACAAACAGAAAAGTCATGTGAAGTTGAGAGCAGTGGCAGTGATGTACAGGCACAAGCTCTTCAGTCGGTGAGGGGGTGACTATAATTGGCAGTGACAAAGTGAAGGTTGAGTCTCCATCTTGTGGCCATTAATCATAATATTCACAGATCTGTATCCCACACTCTTCAAGTAGCTATATTACTTTCAAATTTAGGTTATTGGCAGATGAAAATACTGCACAGGAAAGTGCATATTGTGTAAGGGACAATTATCTAAGCATGTAAATGAGGATAGCCTACTAAAAACAAATGTTTTCTTTTCAGTATAACAGTCTGACTAAAAAAACGACTTGAATTTTAGAATTTCTCTAAACCTAGTGTGTGTGTGTGCTACAGTTAAACATTTTTTTTGAAGTCTCTTATGCTCATGCACCAAGGCTGCATGAATTTGGTCAAAAATACAGTAAACAGTAATATTTTTAAATATTACATTTTCTAATAACTGTTCACTATTTCAACATGTTTTAGAATGTTATTTATTGTGAAAATGTGTATGTGTATGTATATATATATATATAGACTAAAGAATTGGGACATACCTCTTAATTATTGAACATGAGTCACCAACGCTGTGCTGATTCCATGCTGAAAAGTTCCAAACTTCCACTGGCATTATATCGGCACAAAAACTGCGGCAGGATCTTCATGGAATGGGTTTCCATGGCCGAGCAGCTGCATACAAGCCTCACATCACTGAACTCTGGAGAAGTGGAAACATGTTCTGTGGAGTGACGAATCACTCTTCTCTGTTTGGCAGTCTGATGGGCGAGTCTGGGTTTGGCACAATGCAAGGTCCAAAAAAGATCTGGAACTGCGATTCCAAGCCAGACCTTCTCGTCCAACATCAGTGCCTGACCTCACAAATTCTCTACTGGATGAATGGGCCAAAATTCCCACAGAAACACTTCAAAATCTTGTGGAAAGCCTTCGCAGAAGAGTGGAAGCTATTATAGCTGCAAGGGGGGCGCACACACAGATTTCACAGGAAGTATACACTCACCGGCCACTTTATTAGGTACACCTGTCCAACTGCTCGTTAACACTTATTTCTAAGCAGCCAATCACATGGCGGCAACTCAGTGCATTTAGGCATGTAGACATGGTCAAGACAATCTCCTGCAGTTCAAACCGAGCATCAGTATGGGGAAGAAAGTTGATTTGAGTGACTTTGAACGTGGCATGATTGTTGGTGCCAGAAGGGCTGGTCTGAGTATTTCAGAAACTGCTAATCTACTGGGATTTTCACGCACAACCATCTCTAGGGTTTACAGAGAATGGTCCGAAAAAGAAAAAACATCCAGTGAGCGGCAGTTCTGTGGGCGGAAATGCCTTGTTGATGCCAGAGGTCAGAGGAGAATGGCCAGACTGGTTCGAGCTGATAGAAGGGCAACAGTGACTGAAATAACCACTCGTTACAACCGAGGTATGCAGCAAAGCATTTGTGAAGCCACAACACGCACAACCTTGAGGCGGATGGGCTACAACAGCAGAAGACTCCACCGGGTACCACTCATCTCCACTACAAATAGGAAAAAGAAGGCTACAATTTGCAAGAGCTCACCAAAATTGAACAGTTGAAGACTGGAAAAATGTTGCCTGGTCTGATGAGTCTCGATTTCTGTTGAGACATTCAGATGTTAGAGTCAGAATTTGGCGTAAACAGAATGAGAACATGGAACCATCATGCCTTGTTACCACTGTGCAGGCTGGTGGTGGTGGTGTAATGGTGTGGGGTATGTTTTCCTGGCACACTTTAGGCCCCTTAGTGCCAATTGGGCATCGTTTAAATGCCACGGCCTACCTGAGCATTGTTTCTGACCATGTCCATCCCTTTATGGCCACCATGTACCCATCCTCTGATGGCTACTTCCACCATGTCACAAAGCTCTAATCATTTCAAATTGGTTTCTTGAACATGACAATGAGTTCACTGTACTAAAATGGCCTCCACAGTCACCAGATCTCAACCCAATAGAGCATCTTTGGGATGTGGTGGAACGGGAGATTCGCATCATGGATGTGCAGCCGACAAATCTGCGGCAACTGTGTGATGCCATCATGTCAATATGGACCAAACTCCCTGAGGAATGCTTCCAGCACCTTGTTGAATCTATGCCACGAAGAATTGAGGCAGTTCTGAAGGCAAAAGGGGGTCCCACCCGTTACTAGCATGGGGTACCTAATAAAGTGGCCGGTGAGTGTATATATCAATCTAAAACTGTATTTTTAAAGGCCATTTTAAATGTACTAGTAAAGGCCACACCATATAATATGGCCTAATATTATATACTTTTTAACCAAAAATTTTGATGTTGAAAAAAAAAAAAAAAAAAAAGATTGATTATTATACATTGAAAATTAAATATTTAATGTTATATACATTTCTAAATAAAATCTCTCCCTACATACATATTGCATACTTACATCACAGCCATCCACTGTTAAAATACTGAAAATGTTTGGCAAAAACCCCAAGCCACATGCCAGAATTGCTGTAACAATGAAAATGCTTTCATGCTCTCTGATAGCTAGAGGCAAGAACAAACAAGTAATAAGACATAACTTGGCCTAAGAGCATCCTGCCTAGTGAATAACCATTTATACTATGGTATTCATAGGTTGGATATGGTTTAATGTCAAAGACATATGCCTGGTGGCTCTTTTCCTCTTTAGAGCGGTTGTATAATACTCTCACTGCGCATTTTAGTCTCATCGCAGTTCAGAGGTCTTACTGTTATTAGCTTTTCCTTCATACGAGTCCTCGATGCCCTCTACTCATCTCAGAGTATGTATCTATGCACACTTAAGTATTCAGACTACATGAAAAACAGACATCTAAATTAAGATTTCAACACTGCATAACTCCATCTGCTTGAGAGCGGTAATTGGTGAGCAAACTGCGTGCTCCTCATTAGAGTTTTGTGAGGGTCACTAAGACTGATTCAAGGGTCTCTCATTAGAGATGCTAGAGGTGTGAAGTGAGGAAGCTCAAACAGCACATCAGGATGTCATCTCATTATCCTGCTGGCCAGCACCACATAAACATCCAGAAGACATCAAAATGATACTAAAAACTATTGACATCTGCAGTTTTATTAGTGACCCTGGATCCCAGCCATTAAACCTTAATACTCTTTTAACGCTATCACAAAATGAGTTTTGTTGTTAAGTTTGATTTTGTCTGGGACCCCTCCCACGTTGTTTGTTCGACTATTAAAGCATCTCTCTATCTACTGATCAAAGTATGTTGAAACGGCATTACAATCATTATGTTACAGTTAAGTCACTAAACACAAAAAGATCACCCGCAACGCAACAGAACATGCCACCAAAGTAAATGGTAACACTATAAAATAAGGTTTCGTTTTCTCTAACCAAAACTACATACCATTTAAACGTTTGGGATCATTAAGATTAAAAAAATATATATATTTAAAAATAAAATAATAAATGCATTAACTTGATCAAAGACATGCATAGTATTACAAAAGATTTCGATTGCAAATAAATGCTGATCTTTTGTGTATCACGGTTTCCACAAAAATATTAAGCCGCACAACTGTTTTCAACTTTGATAAGAATGCTTCTTGAGTAGCAAATCAGCATATTAGACTGATTTCTGAAGAAGGATCATGGAGTAATGATGCTGAAAATGCAGTTTTGCCATCACATGAATAAATTACATTTTAAAATATATTAAAGTTAAAAAGTTATTTTAAATTGTAATAATACATGAATAAATGAACATAAGAGAATTCTTTCAAAAACATTCAAAAGATCTTAAGAAAAAAACAGAACCACAAAAATGCCTGTATTGATTAACTGTCCTTGAGATGAATAGAAAATCTCAGTTTGAACACCATTTTGATTCTGAACAAAGTCCTTGCTAACAAATAATTATTTATTCTCTTTCTATGTGCCTGCAGTAACCTTTTGTACTTGCTCTAGCAGCCAGTATCAGGTGACATACTGGTTCAATATCATTCAGCACTGTTCAAAGTCTACTGCATGATACCTTAAACTTATATATGAACTCTATGAATTCAGTTAAATAGACAGATACTAATTTTGGATTCAGAAAATATTGTGGCTGTGAGCACAATCAAGCTTTGCTCTGACACTAGACTGAGTGGTGATGGGTTGTGGAATACAGTGCACTGCAAACCTCCAGACAGAAAGACTGCAACCAATGTTTAGGTCTCGGGGGAAAAAAACCTCAATGGTGATTAGGTTATTGATTGTGAGATTTCAAATCTGAATGTTAAACATGTAGAGTTCACAAAAAAAGGAAATAAATGGCACTTAATGCTAAAGTGATCTACAAAAATCTGAGTTGTTAAATTGCATCACTGTGGTGATAAATACCAAGACGCCTGGAATAAATTGAATCGATATGAATCTATTTTATTTTCAGAGCCTATTTGATAATGCTGCTATCTTTTTGAAGAGTCAAATCAAGCCAATGACATCCAGACAAGCAAAATTCTATTACAGCATTGCAATAAAGTCCCACAGTTTACTGTTCTAATAAGGAATGTAAACTTATGATGCATTGAAAACTCACAATATAAAAAACACTTCTTGAATTGCAAACCCCCAAATTTAATCATGTTAATGCTTAAAGATGGCAGCTCTATGTAGATTAGCTTGATTACATGCACTCAATGGCCAAATACCCTCTCAATAAAATGTTGAGGATTAATCTGAATAAATTAAAAATGTTTATGTTCAAAAGGCACTGAAGCAGCAAGGCTGCTGGATAAAAGAAGACAGACATTTCCTTTCCTCTGCCATTAAATAAATTGACAATTTCTTACAAAAAAAAAAAAAAAACATTAAATACTTAAATAACTCTGAACAAGACTTGCCAGGGGTAAACAGTGAATGTGATTTTTGAATACTCATTTTTTTCTTAGGGAAACTGTGTAGTGATGTGTGAATGTTTGGTGGGAACATGTGTAGTGTAGCATGGTACATGGTAATACTTATAAAATGTGTTTGAATGTAATAAGCAACACTGTTATTTTCAAACTTTGTCTGTGCTGCAATCCTCATTTGTACAAGCAGAAGCCCAGGAGTGCGCTTGCGAAGGGCTTTTGCGGAAAAATGTTGCAGTTCAGAGTCCAGTCTGTTTTTTTTGCTTTGGTTTTAAGTGGCAGAGAGAGAGAGAGAGAGAGTGGCAGAGAGAGAGAGAGAGAGAGAGAGAGAGAGAGAGAGAGAGAGAGAGAGAGAGAGAGAGAGAGAGAGAGAGAGAGAGAGAGAGAGAGAGAGAGAGAGAGAGAGAGAGAGAGAGAGAGAGAGAGAGAGAGAGAGAGAGAGAGAGAGAGAGAGAGAGAGAGAGAATTCAGGCCCTTGAAGATATTCAGACCACAAACTTGTTCTTAGTAGTGGAGCCACTCTTAGTGGCCGTGTCAGCATGAGACTGGTAGCCAATGGTCATATTCATAGGGATGCCTAACCGTTCCTTGTACACCCTCCTGCCAAACAAACACAATTACACATTTTACCAGGTTGAGTATATTATCATTTATATCAGGGGTGCCCAATCCTGTTCCTGCAGATCTAACTTCCTGCAAAGTTCAGCACTAAACGTGATCAAACACAACTGAACCAGCTAAGTAAGATCTTCAGAAGAACTTGATCATTACAGACAGGCGTGTTGGATTTGAACTCTGCAGGCATTGGGCACCCCTGATTTATATGTAGCATGAATGCATTAGAGTCTCACCCTATGTGCGTTACAGCATCTCTGTTCTCGTAATCAGATGTCCAGACAGCGATTTTTATCGCCTTTCGTTCGGATATTGACTACAGCCCCGCACACTTCATCGCTGTAGTCGTCAAAGGTCTCACCGATGAGGCACAGCAGCTGTAGGAATGACACAGGTGAGTGTTTGAGAGTCAGGGCTGTAACAGAAGCACATGAATTACTTGCGTGCATGTTGAGGGAGGTGTTCAGTGACTAACTCAGAACTCTTACAGTTTCCAACCAAAAGCGGTCCAGGTCATACTTCCTCTGCTGCTTGTTGAGAGTGATGAGCCAGCGGCCTCCTTTTTTATTCCTCTCATCCTCCCACATGGGCTCAATACCATCCTGCAACCCAAGCACAAACCAAAGTCCACAGTTATCTGGAGTATCTCGTACACTACCGCTAGAAAGCAGCAAGCAACGCTAAAGCAAAAATCTACTTTCAAAAAAAGAATAAAAGTACAAAAACAATATTTTGCAAACGCTATGCTTTCGGCAACTGACCCTTAAACTCCACCCTCCACTGGAGATCTCCACAAATAGAACAACAATCTAAAAGTGCTCATAAAAAGGTCAAAGCTGACAGATTGTAATTATTTGTGACACTGCAAAGCATTTTATTTGTTTTTGTTTTCTTTAAAAAATTACAGAATAACAAATTATAAGAATCTATGTAAAGAAAAAAAGATAATTAAGTAACGTTAACTTGCACAGCATAAACTGCTCAACGTTTATTTTAAGATTTGGATTTCACTATATTTTTGGATTGCGTCTGTAAAGTCAATCCAAACACTTGACTTAATCAAGTCATTGACTTCAAGTTATAAAAGAACAGCTCATCAGATAATTTGACAGATGGCAACAGATACTCAGTACGATTGGTCAGTAATATTTTGCTGCGGCTTAGCAATGGGTCAATTAGTTCTTGAAGTCTTGATAATGTGTTTGTATATATTGGGTAACATTTCACAGAGCTTTAATTTAAAGCTGATGATAGGGACGTAAACGTAGGGACGCAACATGGGCTGCCAAATGATCGCATGGTGTCACCACCGTGCGACACACACCCGGGTCTGATCAACCCGTGGTGGGCGTCTTGTGATAAGTGGCCGAAACACCCAATTAGGTCGGGCACACAACTGAGGATGTGTCGCACTGGTGGCATCGTGAGTTCTGTGCCAAAGTTCACCCCACCCAAGATGACATCCCCATTCAATTGTTGTGCTGAAAGTTAGGGATATTTACCAACCAGTCCTAGTAAGAATCATTAATTTTTTTTTACTTTTGGGTGAATTATCCCATAAATTACATAGCAGTTATGAGGGAAGCCTACCTTGAAAAGAGAATAGTCACATCCTGACATCAAATAACTGGAGAGCTGAATGTGGTTATAAAGCCTATAAAGAAGAGATTCATAAAGTAAATTAAACTGGTCAAGTAATTGGGGGGGGGGGGGGGGGGGGGGGGGGACTGAAATGTAGGCTATGCTTATCTCTTGGTACAAAAACGAAGTCTTACGCCCAAAAATCCTCTACTGTGTCAAATTTGGAGATCAGTCTGAGATTGGCCTGCCATGTTTTGCTCTTGTCATTTTTGAAGAACCATAAAGACCATCTTTAGGGGAAAAACATAAATAACATCAACAACATTTTTACAGAATCTAGAAATCTAAACAATACTCTTAAAGTATAAAATTATACAGAGGAAATGTGTAATTTGTATATATTAAAAACTAAAAAATATACTTAGGAACTAGCGTTTTATTGGAAATAACATTATGTGTGTCCCTAAAAACAAGTGCATTCATTCACTCAACCTGTTCTGTAGAGGATGTTTGATGTAGCTCTCAGGGCTGACAATCTCCTGATTGGTCTCTTCGGAGTTCTCCTCTTCACTCTTGCAAGAATTTGAGTTTATTTCCTGGGCAGGAAAATTTTAAAGATTAGTTTTTTTTTTTACCTAATACATTCAAGTTCACATCAAAGCAGCCAGTGTGAACACACAACTGTTGGACTTACTGTAGACAACAATCATTTATTTTCCATTATTTAAATTAAATAAAGCATAGAGAACAAAATTGATTCAACACCTGAGACCAATGCAATACCTGGTACTTTAATGTAATTGTGTTGTATCTGCTGCAAGTCTGAGGACTGTAGTCACTGTTAGTTTTTCTTAAACTTAATTTAATCAAACCTGAGCTGTGTGAGAGAACTAGAAGTGTTCACAGTCATTCATTACTGTCATTCATTCAGATTTTAACAGCTGTGAATAAACTGTGGTTTGACACCGCTTTCATGGTTTGATCCAGCATGGTGTCGTTACAATACAATTCACTTCACTTCACTTTCCTCATTCGCTGTCTTAGTTTTTGACAGCTGTGCTGTGACGGGTTCGCTTTCTTCCAGAAAGAAAATTAAACAAGTTTCAAATTGTGGCTACATGCATAAAGGGTAGTAGTGACGAACAGACATCTGGAAAAGCAATTAAATCCCTTACGTGACTGGAACAAGCCTTGTCAACTTTCAGCCAAACTTTAAGCCATACATTCAAACAAGCCGAAAAACTTTTTAAAAGTTTACAGAGGATGAAATTTAAACGTCAGTTTAGCCTAAAACTAAGTAACTTATTGTTAAATGAAGGCCGTTTTGTAGTTTAGCGTGAAAAGATAGGAAAGTGTAAAATAATATTTGTGAAGTTTATTCACTTACCGGCTCCACCGTCGCCATTTTAAGTGAGTCGTTCACATCACAGGCCTCATAAGGGACGTTCACGCTTCACTTCAGTGCTTCGCTATGATTGGCTGTCACGGTACTAAGAGCGAATCACAGGCTGTGTCTCAAAAAAACGTAACGAGACGCCTACCAAAAACAATTCGAACACGATTTGGCTATGTGAATGAATCATTCTTTTGAATCGGTTCTTGAAAGTGAATTGATAGAGCCAGTTCACAAACGTTCACGAATCACAGTTCTCAAATAATCGCCTCATTTGTACGTATAAATAACATAAGACGTGCCTGAGATGTTGATTCCCCCCTCCCCCTCCATATTATATGAATAAATCACAGACTGTATCTGGAAAAGTATACGGTTTAACAGGAATAGTGTGTGTGTGTGTGTGTGTGTGTGTGTGTGTGTGTGTGTGTGTGTGTGTGTGTGTGTGTGTGTGTGTGTTTGTTTGTGTGTGTGTTTGTGTGTGTGTTTGTGCGTGTGTGTAAAATAAGCCAAGTGAAGGTAAAATGTAAATGCAAATTATATTTAGCTTTAGTTGACTTGTTTTTATGAGCTGAATCAGAGCTGCCATGAAGTAAACTGAAATTACAATAAACATAATTGTTCATAAAATTGAAACAGTACACAGACATATGAAACGATATATGAATTCACTGGAGAGGTTTGAGTGTGACAGACCAAAATGTGATTTTGATTTACGCGTGACGTAAAAGGGCAGCCGAATCGTTCTCAGTCGGTTTAAATGAGCTGTTCGAAAGAACCGACTGTCGGAAATGACGCCCCCAAATTTTGTCTACGTAGTTGGCTTGCTAGGTTTTGACCATGGTTTTGACACACAGCCTGCACTTCAATAACAGTATATATTTCTACTGCGGATTTATTAATGAATAATTATACTATGAAACAGGCTAGACCTTAAAAAAAAAAAAAAAAATGTAGGCTATTACACACATCTACATAATGGTCATTATGTCTAATCCATTGTTTTTGTCATTATAAAGGTTATAACAAACATAATACAACAATTCCCGCTATGTAGGATGATAAATCTTTTATTATGACTGCACCGTGATTGTCTAATGACGTCAGGATGTACTTTCTGTTGACAGCAAAGACCGGAAGTATCGCCAGCAGCCTTCTGGTTCTCAGCCCCTCGGCCCTATCTCAGGTCAGCATTAATCTTTCTGTTTTTAGGAATATGTCAAGTACTAATCGGATAGTAAATGATACGGAGGTACGTCATCGTGATGTCTTATGCGGGACGCGAGATCGAAGCGGGTGTCATTGCCAACGCGAGCGTGCTGTTAGACCCACACACAGCGAACAGGTACGTTAAGACTGTCAGATCTCTTACAGCTCTAACAATTTTGCATTTAAATATAATAATACATTTTTTAGACTTGCATGTGTGTATTTATCTTCCTTCCTTTCACTTTTTACTCGGAAATGGCGGAATATTCTGTTATCTGTAACTTAAGACATTGCCCTGCCTCTCCCTTTCTTTATCAGCAGCTTTCCCACATCATACCCCACAGCCTGCTCTATGAGTAGTTGGAATGTCACATTAATTAGGTATAACATAAGGCATTCAGTCTAATCTGTTAAGCATAAACTATATCTCTTTTTTAGCTTACTATAGCTAAATAATAAACCTAAGTAGACCAACTTGTTTTTTTGTTTTTTTGCCTGCCTATATATAGCTTGAGTACATACAAACATTTAAACACTCCACAGACACTCTCACGCATGGTTATGTGGTGTCATCTTACACAGTATTTTCCACTTTCTGCTTTGTGTTACTTAAAAAACATTGTATAATTTAGTCAAACTCTGTCTTTGCTCTCAGAATGACCTACGGGGAAGAGAAAGACCACGTGAAGCCTCTGCAGCAGAGCCACGGGCAGCAGAAGGACCTGCGCCAGAGGTTCCATTGGTGGACGACTGTGAAAAGATGGGCACTCTGTTCGGGGAGCTCAATAAGTGTCTGAGGGGTCTTGGTTTCACCCAGCTTTACTTTGGAGAGAAGATTGTGGAGCCTGTGGTCGTGCTGGTCTTTTGGTTGCTGCTCTGGTTTCTTGGTATCCAAGCCCTCGGCCTTGTGGGAACTCTATGCATCGTTATCATTTATATTCAGAAATAACAGATGTTAAGTGACTGACGGACGGACAGATGAAGGTGCATTTTCCACTCACAGCCTGTGCCAGTGAAAGAGAGGAGAGACTTCTTTCTACAAAAAATGAGCTTCGTGAATGTCATTTGAACGTATTACCCAAACCGTATACTTGGATCTGTGCCGTTTGCCTTCTTTTTATGTGGGTATGTTCAAGAGGGTAAGTTATTAAAGATAATCAGAGGATTTACTTAATCTACAGGAATGATTCCTCCAGTGTGAGCGCAGGTGTGAACTGTGTATTATCTATGATAGGTATTTGTGAAAAGCATGCTTCCCTTAAATATTTGCATAAACAAAATGGGTGCATATTGATATGCTGACTATCATTAGTTTTAAAGTAAAGTTCAGGAAAAAGAGCATAAATATAACCGGATTCTAATGACAGTTGTACATGCAAGTTATATGGTCATTAAAATGACCATGGTACTGTTGTGGAATGTATTACTCTTATTTGCCCAGGTGTCAGTCCTGCATTCTCTGCAATTGCACTAGAGGGCAACCTTCCTCATCTTCCCCTTAACATGTCTTGGGAAATATACCAGGGAATAATAATCCTTCTGTTAACTTGAATGTGTCATTACTACTGCATGTGAAATGTTCTGGGGCTGCTGGGACATTTTTGTGTTTCCTCTGACAGTATGATTTAAATCAAATGCTCCAAAAAGTCTTAGCAGAGGAAGACTCTGTATTAAAAGACCTACGTTATGCACTGTATAATCCTATTGGGTATTCTTATTAGTTGAATTTACTTTAATCTGCTCATGTTCATTAAAAAAAATCATGTTACAATATCTGTATCAATGAAATCAAAGGATAATTTCATAACTGTAAAATATTTAGTATGCAAGTTTTGCAACAATAGAATGTTTTGTATTACCCATATTCAGGAACAGAAGAATGACAATGCCAGTTTTTATTGCACTTATGTGTTTTCTTACATTTTAAGATTATTGAATGAACTCTAACTTTTTAAGCAAAGCTAAGCTGCTCTTTATGTAACTGTGAATATCTTTGCAAGATGACATCATTTCATATTCCTGAAAATCATGTTTGAATATGATTATTTTTGGTACTGATTAAAAAAAACTTTGGTTTGTATGTAATATTACAATTCATAATTGCTGATACAATGCCAACACTTTGCTTTTATGTATCTGATTCTTTTCAGTGTTAATCAGCATCTTCTGTGCCATAATTTAATTTCACCCACGTATCATTTACTGTATGCCACGATGCTGTATTTTTGGATGGTGGTGGGTTGTGATGAATACTTTGATTAATTAATTGGAAATAATTGGTTTTTATATTTCACATCTTTCTGCAATGTATGGGAGCTTTAAAACTGGGTTATCATAATAAAAATTATCACGGTTTAAAATAATTTGTTTTATTGCTTTTTCCCAATGCAATCTACAAAATCTATCTGGGCTGTGCATCCCAAAAGCACAAACAGTACATTGCTTTTGGGAAGACCTGAATTTGAAGCGAGAAGCTTAGAAATCTTTAGAACTTAAGCAAATATTAATTGAAAAGCATCAAAAACTTTTGAACAGGATGAAGATGTCCACATTTTTTTCATTTAGTACTGCCCTTTGGAAGCAACAGAGGTTTCCCGGATGACAAAATAAGTACAATTTACCATGATCTTCAAATTCACAAAGTTTTCACCCCCTGCTCTTAATGCATCGTGTTTCATACTGGAGCATCAGTAAATGTTTGAACTTTTTTTTAATAGTTGTGTTTGAGTCCCACAATTGTCCTCGGTGTGAAAAGATGGATCTCAAGATCATATTCACTACTGGAAAGGGTTCAAATATGCAAAAGATGCTGGAAAACTGAAGAATTTGCAGGACCTGAAGAATTGTATATTTCTGAAGGACATTGAGCAGTTTAACTTCTCAGGACAAACAAGGAACTCAAGAACAAAAACAGTTGTGGTGTGGATCATGCACGTAATGACACAGTTTTAAGAATCAAGGGTATTTAAACTTTTTAATGGGACTAAATGTAAACATCCTTTGTGTAAAATATCTCATTCAGGACAGTACTAAATAAAAAATAACATGCATTTTGAATATGATCCCTCTTATTTTGTTATTGATATTTCACTGGTTTTGGCCATACTTCTGTTAGACTGTTGTTAGTGTCCTGTACCCACTAGTAAAAAAATATCACAAATTATATCTGGTGTCTGAATAATTTTTGGTTTGACTGTATGTATATATAGTTAATAATATGTTAATTTTAGTTCAGTAAAAGAGAGAGAGAGAGAGAGAGAGAGAGAGAGAGAGAGAGAGAGAGAGAGAGAGAAAGAGGGAGAGCAAGGGAGAGAGAGAGAGAGAGAGAAATTGCTTCATCCAGAATATAAGAGCGAGGGCCAAAGATTCTCTGTCTCTCTTTGCATTCATCTCAGTAACGACTACATTGGGAAATGGCCACTGCAGGAAAGGTTCGTAAACATGTCTTTTAATTTCTTTTCATTTGTGCTGCAGAGAAGTTAATGCATTTTTTATATGACTTCAGTCCCTTTACCTTTACGCTCATTTCCATTGACCTATTGATGAGGAAAAATTTACAATGCAAATACATCTGCAAATAAGATTCTATTTGATCAATTTAATGCCAAAGTTTTGATAAGACTCTCATAAGACTGTTGTTGATGCTTTAAGCCAGGCTTAAGCCCAAAACTGGCTAAAATATGTAAGATCAATGCATACAATTCACATACAATATAAAACTTGTGTATATGATATGCTGCGATGCAATATTGATTTGCTGCATTGCTAATAATAATAATAATAATAATACTGAGTATATAAAGAATATATATATATATATATATAATATTATATATATATATATATATATATAAGAGATGTAGATGTCACATGTAAAAATAAGGTGACAAATGTACATATAACCAATGTACATATTTCCAAATACTTTTAAAAAAGAATGTTTTTTTTCTTCTTCTTCTGGATTTTATTGGTCCTTCTGCCAGTTTTCTGTCAAATGGAAACTATAGTAAACCATGATAAAACTACAAAATGTGCTCTGGCAATTTCATTGGGTTAATATTTATCTGCTATTGTGAAATCACAGATATTTGTGGCTCTAAAAACAGATGTTTCATGTTTCCATTGGCTTCAGCCAAACAGCTGGACAACCTCCAACTACGGTTAGAGAGTGTAGATCATGCAAGCGCTCAAGTTCAGCAGTTATATAAACATCAGTAGTCAACCATTAAATATCTATAAAACATGCTGAACCGATCTCTTCTTTCTGCCAAAGGTGATCAAATGTCGGGCTGCCGTTGCCTGGGAGCCCAATGCTCTCCTGATGATGGAGGAAATAGAAGTCGCCCCACCTCAAGAAGGAGAAATACGAATCAAGGTGGGAAATGCCCCATGCAAGTTGTAAAATCAGATAATACTGTGATATTGTTAACTTATTGATTAAAAAGTTTTTCTCCTGTCTTGAAGGTTGTAGCTACAGGTGTGTGTCACACTGACCTCTACCACCTGTTTGAAGGGAAGGACAAGCGAGGTTTTCCCACTGTCTTGGGACATGAGGGCGCTGGTGTGGTGGAGAGTGTTGGACCTGGAGTCACTGATTTCAAACCAGGTCATTAACTAAAACGACATTTTAACAATGCCTTTCCATGTATTTATTTCTCCTTTAAAGTCACCATGAAATCAAAATTGACAATGCTTATTTTTTTATAGAACGTTGCATTTATTATAAATGATTTATCCGTGCACACCATTATTATAATTTTTTTTAAATGCATAGGCCTATGCACTCTTCATGACGTCTGTCTCGGCGGAGGGTGGCACTAAATTATCCTCCACAACTGACTGCAAACATTCAGATCTGCCTTTATTTAGGTAGTAACATTTACTTCCTACAATCTAATCAGTTGGATCAGGACAAAATCCAGTCTCGCCCTATACATTTTTTCTCATTCCAGAAGCCGTTCACTTGGTTATAGGCTACGTCACATTAGGGAAGAAAAGACTATCGCAACTTCCGTTTTATGTTAGTGATAGTTTACTCAAAATGAAACATCTGTGCCATAATTTAATCACCCTCATTCTGATTTGAATCTTTTCAATGAATCGGTTCATCTGGTTCGCAAACCCATCGAGGGCCCTGTCCCAAATGGAACCCTAAGCACTCGCGGTCTTCCTCTGAGTCCGCAATTTCGCGACGTAACGCCGCTTTGAATGTCGGGAAGAAGTCTGCTGTGGAGTCCGCATCAGCGCGGGCTCGGCAAAAGTGCGCATCAAGGGCGCAAATCGACCGCAGAGGGGGCGCTCGCGAGCACCCTTCTGAGATCTAAAAATGACAAATGGGACACACTGCGGTCTCACGGACTTAACGGACACGCGCACACGGCAGCCATTGTAAGTCCACAAGACCGAAAGTGCACATGAAGTGTGCCATTTGGGATTGGGCCTAACTGATTTGTTCATGAATGAAATGGGTGCGTCTCAATCAGCTAGTGTAGTAGTCAGGGCACTGATCAGGGAATCGGACATTTTAAGGGCTGTCACAATCACAAAATCCTTCCAGTGCACTGAAACTCCCTAAAAAGTCCCACAATGCACCGTGAAAACCAGGGAGTATCGATGATCATTACCCTTGGCCCTGTCCCAAATGGCGCACTTCATGCGGACTTTCGGTCTCGTGGACTTAAATTGCGCGTGCTCGCCGAGTCTACGAGTCCGTAGGCCGTCCCATTTTGCATTTTAACGTTCTGAAGTGTGCTCAGCAGCGCCCCCTTTGTACCATTGAACCGCATAGATGCAGGCTCCACGCACTTTAACTACCCAGGAATCCTTGCGAAAGGCCAATCAGACAACGGATGGGAGGAGATTTCACTCACGGACAATTGTTAACATGGCTGAGAAGAAAATATTTAAGTGTAATTATCATTACGGTTTTTATGACAAGTTTATACAAACATTATGGTCATCGACCAGTGGTTGATGTCTCAAACATAGGGTAATAATAGCGAGCTGAATAATACGATCGCATTATGATTCATTAAATAAATAGAACAGAATGTCAGGGCTTTACTGAGTCATATGTAAACACAACAACAATAGGCAGCATATTACCCCGAACCTGTAGCTCCTGTCCATAACAACAATCAGACCGTCTTCCTGTTTCCGGCGTGACGATCGAGTCTGTCCCAAAAATACCTCTCAATGCGCCCTCGCGGACTCGCGCTAAGGGCCCTATAGGTCTGCACTACATGACGTCACCGAAGTGTGGACTCTGAGGAAGTCCACAAGTCCGGAGTGTGCCATTTGGGACAGGGCCCTTAAGTTCTGAAGCACGACACATAAATCACGTGAGCCAACTCAATACACCTAATGACGCGGTATGTCTTGAAAAAAAAAACCTTAGGCTTATTTAATTACATTTCAGCATAAACATACATAGGTCATTTGGGACAGACTCGATCGTCACGCCAGAAACAGGAAGACGGTCTGATTGTTGTTATGGACAGGAGCTACAGGTTCGGGGAAATACCTATAAGCTAGGGAGCTGATTGAGATGCATTCTTTATGCAAGTAAAATAAATTAATACATCTGTATTGTGTTGAACAGGTGATAAGGTCATTCCACTCTTCATCTCTCAGTGTGGAGAATGCAGATTCTGCAAGTGCCCAAAAACAAACCTGTGTGATCGCAGCTGGTGAGAAACAAACACAAAACAACGTTTTACATATACTCAATTTCTTGCTTTTTAGATTAGATTTTTTCTTCTCTGGCAGGACAAGTAATTATCATAACATCATGTCTGATCCCACAACACGTTTTACTTGCCGTGGTCAGCCCATCTTGCAGTTCATGGGCACCAGTACCTTCTCTGAGTACACCGTCATGAACCAGATAGCTGTGGCAAAGATTCATGATGATGCTCCACTCGACCGCGTGTGTCTGCTCGGCTGTGGCATCGCTACTGGTTATGGAGCTGCTGTCAACACAGCTGGGGTGAGTATAGATGTTGTGTGTATTCAAGAAGTGTTTGGATACTTAAGCCATATTTTACTGAATGTCTTTGCTTTACAAAATGTTGAATTCAAGGGTCATTCATTTTAAAGAAAAAGAGCACAAGCATACTTTAAGAAAAATGCTAAATGGACTGCATTTATATAGCGCTTTCACAGACCCAATGGCCACCAAAGCGCTTTACATTTTGCCTCACATTCACCCATTCATACACCGATGGCGGTGTCAGCCATGCAAGGCGCCATCCAGCTCGTCGGGAGCAGCTGGGGTTAGGTGTCTTGCGCATGGACACCTCGACACTTGGTCAGGTGGAACCGGGGAATGAACCACCAACCTTGCGGTTTGTAGACAACCTACATGAACCATTGAGCCACTGCCGCCCATAATTATAAAGACAAACATTAAAAGTTAATGTTAGCTGTGATGATAAGATCTTTATTTTATACAACTGCAGTTAATATTGAGTAATTTAGGACTGGTTTCACAGACAGGGATTAGATTAAGATTAGATTAATAAAAAAAAAAACATTACTGGTTTGCATCTTGAGAGAAAATAATGGCAGTGACATATTTTAAGATATGTCAGTGGAAGTTGCTTTCAGTTAAAACAGATCAAACATGCATTTTAGTCTGGGACTAGGCTGAACCATCATCTGTAAAACCAGGGGTTGTAGATTTTAAACACAAGATTAAAATATTTACTTTAGATTTTAAGTTAATATTTCAATAATTTAACAACATAAAGAGCAAGGTTCTCTGATGTCTGTTAATGATCACATGATATGCAGGTAAACCGATAAAATACTTAATTTTTTAGTGTTTTCAGTGAAGTGTTTTATTTTGAATGTTTTTATTTCAAAATTATTTATTGTAATTTTCATTTTAATTATTTAATAAATAATTAACAGTTCATTAACTCACAAACCCGCATGCGCTCGCTAATGTCAGTGTATTACAGAATGAATCAGTGTGTTGGTTAAGTGAATCATTCAATGGCTCATTCATAAATAGCTCATTGGATGCGCCCTCTTGTCGGCTGCATAAATGAACTCTTTATCTTCAACACTATAAATAAAATATAGGTAGATCTAAATCCAGATGATCACTTGAATCATCATATTGCCCAGCCCTAAAACTTTTTAAAGCAATAAGGCATTAAAGACATAACATTGTCTTTCTGTTAAGCTGCTTGGAAAAGATGAGTATTGTGAAGAGCTAATAAATTTGACTTGACGCTTGGTTTTACTTCAAGTCAAGTCAAGTCAAGTCATCTTCATTTATATAGCGCTTTTAACAATGAATTGTTTCAAAGCAGCTTTACAGAGATAAACATATAATTTAAGGTAACAGATTGTTTTGGCGTTATAGCGGTTCTTGAATAATGTTACTTCCAGCTAAAGTTAACTTTGATTGATTCACCTCCGTCGAAATGATCAGACTTTAAACGCGAACCTGTGATTAACGCTGACGGCGTTCACATGCTCATTCAGAATTCTATAGTTATGTGCTTTTTAAAATATGTGCGCAGGTTTGTAATTCATACAACCCAGCCTAAACAAACTACTTTTCTTGCCTATAAATTTTGATACAGAATTTTGTTTTATTTTATCACTTCGGGGTACGCGAGCCGGAATTCACAGCGCTTTATCTGTAGAGTGGGAAAGGGATCCTCCATAGGGAGAGGATATTGGATACTTCAGCACTGCATTGTCATCGGGTCCAGGCGAATATTCAAGAAGGGATAACACTGACGAGAGCATTCTGGTGTATATTCTGGTTGTTTCAATATATTTTGTAGAGACTTTTAAAGTCAGAGCTGTAAACTGAATCTATTTAATCTGTTAACTGAATTGATCTAAACTTGCTTTTCTTAAATTGTTAAATCCAAAAAGGATTTGGACATTTTCTGTATACATATTTGCACATAAAACAAGTTTGTTGATGCTAGTTTGTTTATCATCTAATGCAAATAAATTCATACATTTTAAGAGTGACTAAAGTGTCCAAATCAATTTTGTGGCTTGAATAGTAAGGTGAATGTTGAGGTGCATTACAATAGTGATTTGTTTGTGTTTGTGTGAAGGTTACACCAGGCTCTGTGTGTGCAGTGTTTGGACTGGGTGCAGTAGGTCTGGCTGCCGTCATGGGCTGTAAAAACGCCGGAGCCTCTCGCATCTTTGCTGTGGATATTAATGAACAGAAGTTTGAGAAGGCAAAGGTCTTTGGTGCCACCGATTTTCTGAATCCAAAAGCATATAATAAACCAATCTCTGAAGTACTGGCAGAAATGACCAATGGAGGAGTGGACTTCTCACTCGAGTGTGTGGGAAACACTGAAGTAATGGTAAGACCTCACTGACATGTACTCTACAATATGAAAAAAGCTGAATTTATTTACTTATTTAAAAGCTTTCAGAACTTGCAATCTTTCTGTGTGTGAATTAATGCGTCTTTGACCTCAGAGGAGCGCACTGGAGTCGTGTGTTAAAGGTTGGGGTGTGAGTGTTATGGTTGGATGGACTGATGTGAAGGACTTTTCTGCACGACCAATTCAGCTCATATCTGGAAAAACCTGGAAAGGATCTCTGTTTGGTGGTAAGCAGGCTGTCAATTAATGCTTTCTATGGCTTTCAGTGAAGGAAATTGACATGCCTGTGCATTCAGCACATTCATTTTTGTTTATGTAAAGGTTTTAAGAGCAAGGACTCTGTTCCAAAACTGGTTCAAGACTACATGTCCGGCAAAATAAAGCTTGACGAGTTTATAACAAACAAAATGAGTCTGGAGCAGGTCAACGATGCCATCAACCTCATGAAGACTGGAGAATGGTACATTATTTACTCTCATCTTTCTGTGTCTGAGCCTGAGGTTAATATTGGAAAAAACATTTGTATAAACATAGAACTAACATTTGTTTTCTATCTTACAGCATTCGGTCCATCTTGAATATATCCAAATGAGAAGCAAATTATCTTCACCCAATCATATTCTAGGCCATGGTTATATTCCCTTCATTCTCTTCTCACTCTTTGCAGTATTTGAGTAACAGCTGGGTAACCAGCTTCAAGAAAGAGCTTCAAGGATTCTCTTAAATAGCATTTTCCAGCCCTCAGCTTTATGAAGTGAGTCACAAGTGCATGTAAACGTTAATGTTTAGCATCATAAACTTCTATTCATCTGCAAGGCAAAATAGTTCTGAGAAGTTTTGCAAGAAAATGTTATCTGTGGCAAATAAACAAGAGAAAAGCATGTAAATCATTTCAAATGGTTTTGTATTACCAATTTATGATGCCGTCAAAATAGTTTATTTCTCTCCTCTAAGCCAGACTCTCCAGCATTTGTCTTGCTTACATAATAATCATGGGAATGTTGGGAAGCACCAAAACATTTGCAGCTGCACCCTGCAGCTTGAACTCATAACCTGCCAAACTGATCCAAACACTGATACACATGTTAAATACTTTACAACATGTCTTTCTCAAATGTTTTTTTCATATCTGTCTGTCTTGGGTGGTCAATTCAGTGTCAGCTTGTAGAAACCATTTTTCCAGACTCTTCTAAAAATGTTTAAGACAAATTGATGGAAATAGATTACTCAGATCTTATGCAGATATGCTCAATAATCATACTGAAACTATTTCTGAAAGGTTTAGATAAAACTAAAGGTATGAACCTAAAGTTAAATTATGTGAAAACCATCAGCAATAATTCAATACACGAACTGCTTGGACGACACTAGAAATGTTTTTCAGCTGCTTTTGACTATACTTAATCTGACATTTTATGACTTCAATCCTTTTTTATTTCTTTGTGATAATTGCCGGAGATTCACCCTTCATTTTAAATGGTTATATAAGTAAAATAAAGGAGAAAATATACTTTAATTCAGCTTGCAAACTGAAATGTATCTGCATCAAACCAGCAAGTTTGCAACTGCTTTTGAGGCTTTTACATTGCTTTGTAAGTGCCAATGATCAGAAAATAATTAAACCATTTGTACTCAGGCACATTCTCACTCAAAGATCAATTTAATTGAACCTTATGAACACTGGAAGAACTTCATGAAAAACATTTGTACAATGTTCAATAACGTTACAAGGCACTCTTTCAGCACTGAAGAGTTTTCATATATCAATCATAATTTGATAAGATTAAAGAATTAAAGAAAAAGAATTTGTACCAAACAAACACAGTATTGAGTCAGGCAGACAAACATACTGAAGCAAACTGAGACAGCAAACCTCACACAGCCGACACGTTTGATACTTTTAAGGTGATTCATTTGTGGACCCTCTGAGCAAATGCATCTGTTTTCACATACCGTATTAATAGACATTTAAAAATTCCACAAGAACTGTATCAAAGATACACAGCTGAAAGGTTTGTTCTCTATACTGTACAAACAGGAATTTGCATTTCCTCCATCCTGTGAATAATTTGATGTGTATTTACCAAAAATAGAACTAAACAATCAAACAAACAAATAAGGCCAGCCCAGGAGAGAAAAAAGTAGCGCATTGTAACAATGTTTCTAGTTACACAATAGGCTATTGTAACACATTGCTTTGAAAACTTTCCCCAACACTGCTTTTTCACCACATAAAGACGTTTGATAAAACAAGGACAGTGCAAGCATGATGAGTGTTTGCAATCTCTGCAGGTCTGATTACATCACATTGTGCAATGCTCGTATCATTCAGAATGTGTCTTTTTGACAGGATGTTACTCACAGTTTTTGAACGCATTGACCACAGTAGCTTCGTGCCACAGAGAAACCATTAGCCTGGGCAAGTTTCTGGATGATGTTCCCTAGGCTAATATACCAGATACCAGGCTTCGCTAGACACAAGACAGTCAGCAACAACAAACCACCTCAGATCACAACACAGACATCCCGCTGTGCAAGTCTGCCCTCTAAAGGTCATTAGTGTGTACATCACATCAGAATGTACTGTAGTATACTGTATTAGTGTACACCAGAAAGGTCTTCAACACTGCTGCTGGCTGGGGATCCAGGGTGTGACTCAATCAGCTCCCATAGCTTCCAAGGTTGTGAATCAGTTTATTAAAAAAGAAAATGCGGGCACTGGAAAGGTCATTAAAGACACTGGCTCACTACACATTGGGACATTGATGACTATTTCACTACTGCTATTTGTTATTTGTAAAGTACATTATGATAAATACTTTTACATATAGGCCTACATGAAACATTTCATCCGTAAATAAATTATAAATGTTAGTTATATTATGTTCATTACCTGTCCAGCGATGTATGTTTATGCTGAAGTATAATTAAAGAATGCTTTGTATTTTCTTTTTTAAAAACATCTATCGTGTGTCATTATGTTTATAGAGTTGGCTCACGTGATTTATGTTTCGTACTTCAGAACTTCCGTTAAGGGAACATAGCGAACATTGATACTTCCTGATTTTCACAGTGTTGTGGGACTTTTTAGGGAGCGAACATTTCAGTGCACTGGTAGAAATGTGTGATTGATTGTGATTTGTGACACACTTTTTATTTGTGTTTGTAGGTCTGAACCTAATCCTCCTCCAAAGCGCAATGGCCTGTGGGCAATATTAGCCTTTAAAGTGTACTCGGATCCACTTCGACAATCTACCAGAAATAGTAGACCATCCGGGGACTTTTGGCATACTCTTTTCAACATACTTTGCTTTGGCACATACTTATTCATACTATTTAGGATGGTATTATGCACATCATTGGTAGGGACACAAAAAAGGTTCAGTGGGTTTCAGCCTATAGAAGCCTAGGGTTCTTGACTCAATTTTAAAGAAGCCTTTAAAAAGTTTCTACAAGGAGAAATGTCTTAAATGATTGAACAATACATTCATGTTTAACGGATATTTAATTTTTTTTCTAGTAATAAAGTGTTTATGAGCTGTTATTAAATTGAAATGAATCTGTCCAGCATTCTCCGGACCCGCTGTGGAGGCACACCCCTCATTCTCCCCTTAAACATGTCTTGGGAAATATTCATGCTAAAAGCCAAAAAACTTTGATTTCATGGGGACTTTAAGCTGCTCATTATGAAACTGTGAATATCTCTTACAAAAAAAAACGAAAAAGAAACAGTTGAATTTCTCATAAGATTAAATTTACACTATAGCCTACACATCAGAAATCAACTATCTCAGGGAACGTCTATATATATATCTTTACTATAATCATAGCTTAATTTTAAATCGAGAGAGAGAGAGAGAGAGAGAGAGAGAGAGAGAGAGAGAGAGAGAGAGAGAGAGAGAGAGAGAGAGAGAGAGAGAGAGAGAGAGAGAGAGAGAGAGAGAGAGAGAGAGAGAGAGAGAGAGAGAGATTGCTTCATCCATTTAAAACCAGAGTATAAAAGCGAGTGCCAAAGATTCATCTCAGCAACGACTACATTGGGAAATGGCCACTGCAGGAAAGGTTCGTAAATTTGTCATTTGGTTTCTTTTCATTTGTGCTGCAGAGCAGTTAATGCATTTTTAATATGACTCCAGTCCCTTTATACCTTTACGCTCATTTCCATTGACCTATTGATCGCAGGGAAAAAAAGACATCTACAGTTAAGTTTAATTAGTATTCTCTCTGATCAATTTAATGCAATAATAATAATGAAGATGATATAAGACTCAGAAGACAGTTATGGATGCTTTGAGCTATCCAATATAACGCAAAGCTTATGTTTTTTGCTCTAACTAAACTAATAGCTTCTAGCTATGACAAAAAAAAAAATGTTAAAGTGATGAAAAAAGCAAGATGTGTTATTACAATGCACAAATGACTTGCTGCACTGCTTTACTAACTATAATGCAATATGAAGACTTACTGTTCATATTAAGACTAAATAATATCAAGGTTAAGCGTTTTAAATTCTACAAAAGTGCGAGGTGACAACATAATCATTCTAATTCTCTTAAAATATATATATATTTTTGCAATTCTCCCAGTTTTCAATCAAACGGATACTATTTAACCACACTAAAACTGTGTTCTTGCAGTTTCATTGAGTTAATATTTATCTTTAGTGATATGAGATAGTTGTTTTAATGCTTCCATTGGCTGGACAACCTCCAACCAGAGTTAGAGAGCAGAGATCATGCAACCGCTCAAGTTGTTAACTCAACTATTAAATACATAAAATATGATGAACCAATTCCATCTGTGTGCCAAAGGTGATCAAATGTCGGGCTGCCATTGCCTGGGAGCCCAATGCTCCCCTGGTAATAGAGGAAATAGAAGTCGCCCCACCTCAAGAAGGAGAAATACGAATCAAGGTGGGAAATGCCCCATGAAAGATGTCACAAAACCAAGCAACTAATTTTAAAACATGCAATACTGTTCATTTGTGTCAATAAACAAAGATTTTTCCCATCACGTAGATTGTAGCTTCAAGTCTGTGTCACACTGAGCTTTACCACCTGTTTGAGGCAAAGGACAAGCGAGGTTTTCCCACTGTCTTGGGACATGAGGGCGCTGGTGTGGTGGAGAGTGTTGGACCTGGAGTCACTGATTTCAAACCAGGTCACAAAATAAAACAATTTCTAGGCATAGCTCAACCATAAATGAAAGTTCGGTCATCATTTACTCACCCTCATGTCGTTCCAAACCTGTTTGACTTTCTTTAGTGGAGACAAAAGGAGAATTTTTTTATGTTCTACTTTTTCCATGCAATTACAGGGACTAAGGACCAAAAAAGTATAATAAAAGTAAAACACATGACTTCAAAGTATCTGAAGCCATTCAATAGCTTTGAGTTCTCTTACGAGAGTATCTCTCGTACTGCGTAATAGCTTACGCTAGGGGAAAAACTCTTTTCCGCGAGATATTGAAGCCAAAAATTATCCTTAATTTTTTATTAATGTAAAACGCTTTGCAGCAGCAAGCAGACATAGGCGAAACAGCTCGCGCGCCTATTGGTTGCTCTGCAGCAAATGCAGCAGCCTATCGAGAGAGACTCTGCGTGACGTAATGACCAATGGGGGCAGTTCGCGCCCATATCGTCACGTCCCGCCAGAAGGGGCGTGGTCTCACCCTATAAATATGCTCGTTAGGCTGATACAAGCTGATTTTTACCTCTTCAGCGAAGCACACGCATCGCTGGATCCGGAGTGAGAAGCCGCGCCGTCGTAGCAAGCCTTTCAGCGGGACGAGCTCTGGAGTCGCTGGCCTCGCCGCCTTCAACTGCCGTACCTGCTGCGCTTTCCGGCGTTCTATATCCTTTCATACTCTGTGTGTATTTACTCTGTTGAGAGTGTTTGCTCGCTTACTTGACGCGACTCACAATTCTCTCACAAAAAGAGCTGCGTCTTTTTAAAGATGCCTTCCTGTGGCTCGTGCCGCGCCCCGCTCAGCGATGGAGACCGGCACGTCATCTGTGTTTCCTGCCTGGGTGAGGATCACGCGGCTCTCGCGCTCGCTGACGGCGGATGCCCTCATTGCGAGCTTTTGCCCATGGTGACTCTGAGGACTCGCCTGGCATCATTCTCCGAGCCTTCACCGCAGCCCGCCGTGGTGCCGCGCCGCAAGAAGCGCCGCGCCCAGCGCGCTCCCGAGCTTTCTCCAGCCCGCCAAAGCTCGCCGGTTCGCCTGCCAGCTTCGCCGGCTTCGCTCGAGTCGCTCACTGACGGACAACGGCCGCCGCCTGCCGCCGCGTCCATCCACGAGTTTGACGAACCCACCGAGGCGTGTTCTCTTCTGGCATCCGATAGCGAGGATTGGGCGAGCTCCGTGAACCTCCCCTCCGCTAGCGTTTCCCGCCAGACCACTGGTAAGAGAGCCGGCATTGAGACTGAGCTGATGCGTCTGCTCTCTCAGGCCGTGGAAAGCATCGGCCTCGATTGGGAAGCGCCCGCGCAACCGCAGCGCAACAGGCGAGCTCTGTGGACCTCCGCCTTCTGTCCGCGAGTCGTCAAGGAAACGGGCCAGCATCAAGCACCTAAAACCGCGGCTAGCTTTCTTTACGTTATAAGAAATCTACCCCGCCCCCCATGGGCGTGCGTCACCGGCAAATGAGAAAAGAGTCTCATTTGAGAGGCCGGACTAATCTCCATTTCTTAAACATTTCTCGGCTCCTAGTTTGAGCGGCTGAGAATGTCATTATTGCAGCAATGAGCCTGTTGTATAACACGCACACCTGCATACAAACGCCGACACACACAAAACTGTGATGAAGCTCTCTTATCTGCTTGCGCTAGTGTAGTTCTCCCTGTGAACCAGTGGCGGAACCCGAAGCTTTCACGCGAGAGACCCATGTTTGATCCCGGCTCTCGCAGCAGATAAACATTTAGTCTCGCCGCGGCCAGACTTCCACCAAAAACTTTTGCTCGTTCAGTTCCAGAAAATGCGACTGTTCCAGTGTATTTTGCAGTAAACAAGCTGGTACCACGGCCCGCTTGCCTGCACATAAAGGCCGTTTCCACGGCGACCCAGAAAAATCATGTAATCATTGTATTTCTGGTTTTCCGGCCACAGCCGATGGTGTTATAAGTGTAATAAAATGCTCACAGCCCAGTGTTCATTTCTACACACAAACACAGCCCGCCACGGTACAGGGCTCGCACAAATGAAATCGACGCATGTCAATTGTGCATTAAATGTAGTAAATGTGCCCACAACCCAGTGCCCACAAACACTACCACGGTTTCTGTAAAACGAAACCAACACAAGTCTTCCTAGCCTCCTAGGAAATCGACGGTGTTTCAGTCTCGCCGTGGCCAGACTTCCACTGAAATTTTCGCTCGTTCAGTTCCAGAAAATGTGACTGTTCCAGTGTATTTTGCAGTAAGCAAGCCAGTACCATGCCCGCTTGCCTGCACACAAATGCTGTTCCCACGGCGACCCAGATAAATCACATAAATGGTGTATTTTCTGGTATTCCGGCCACAGCCGATGGTGTTATGAGTGTATTGAAAATGCCTACAACCCAGGGCTCATTTCTACACACACACACAGCCCGCAAAAATGCAGGGCTCGCACAAACAAAATCGCCTCATGTCGATTGTGCACTAAATGTAGTGAATGTGCCTACGTCTCAGTGCCCACAAACACTACACACCACATGTCCCACGGGTTCTGTGAAAACGAAACCAACACGCATTCAGTCAGCTCAGGCGCTGTCCTGCGCCCACATTCACTCACAGACATGTTAAGCCCCACGGGGCTCGCCCCGCTCTCTCTCCCTCAGCAAACTGCTATAAGGGTTTTGAGCGCGGCCAGGCTGCCCGCCGCGATCGGCGCGCCCCCCGCCTCACACACTGTAAACAAAGTGTCTGCGTTACAGCACGCCGGAGCTCTCTTGCCGTCACTATGTCTCGGCCAGAGCCCAGATCTCATTCTACCCCTAGCTATTCACGCGAAAGTGTGGGCACAGCTTCCTGGGGTATCAGAATGGGTGCTGAACACTATAAATAGAGGCTATTCGCTAAAGTTCGCTCGACGTCCCCGCCGTTATACGGCGCGCGTCGAGACGACGGTGGAAAACGAAGTATCTCATCTACTTCGAGCCGAGATAGCGAAACTACTGAGCAAAGGTGCTATAGAACCTTTATCTCAAGCTCAGAGCAAAGGGGGCCTACACAGCAGATATTTTCTGGTACCGAAAAAAGATGGAGGTCTCAGACCCATTTTAGATCTGCGACAGCTGAACAGAGCGCTTGTGAAGCGCCAGTTGAGAATGCTTACGACCAGGAAAATCCTCGCGCAAGTGCGCCACGGGGACTGGTTTATGCCAATAGATCTGAAAGACGCCTATTTCCAAATACAAATGGCGTCCCATCACAGGCGATTCTTGAGATTCGCTTTCGAGGGCCAGGCATATCAATACACAGTTCTGCCGTTCAGCCTGTCCCTAGCACCTCGTACATATACAAAGTGCATGGACGCGGCGCTCGCACCCCTGAGACTTCAGGGCATGCGAGTCCTGAACTACTTGGACGATTGGCTGATTCTAGCTCGATCACGATCGGAGCTCATAGAACACAGGGCCGCATTACTCGAGCACCTCGAGGAGCTGGGCCTCACAGTCAATTGGGCGAAGAGCTCACTGTCTCCCAGTCAGAAAATTTCCTTTCTGGGAACCGTGTTGGACTCGCTGTCCATGACAGCACGCCTGTCACCAGAGCGCGGGCTAAATATTCAGCGCGGCGCGAAATCCTTCCGCCACGGCGCGATAGTTCCGCTCAAAAGGTTTCAGAAAATGCTGGGGCTGATGGCCTCAGCGGCCTCTGTACTCCAGTTGGGCTTGCTGCGCATGCGCCCACTGCAGATGTGGCTGAAAGCGCGGGTTCCACCCAGGGCATGGACAGCGGGTCTGTTTCGCCTCAGGGTCGACCTTCAGTGTGTTTCAGCTCTGGAACCTTGGAAAATAACCGACTGGTATCAGTCAGGTGTGAGTCTGGGGACCGCTTCGAGTGTGAAGGTGGTGTCTACGGACGCCTCCACCTCGGGGTGGGGAGCGCTGCTCGAGGGCAGACCGCTAGCTGGCCTGTGGTCAGAACGGGAAAAGCTCCTTCACATAAACTGCTTGGAGATGATAGCAGTCGACAAAGCGCTACGGCGTTTTTGTCCCCAGGTAACAGGCCACCACGTCTTGGTCCGGTCGGACAACATGTCAGTGGTGGCATACATAAATCGCCAGGGCGGCGTCAGGTCACGAAACCTTCACAGGCTGACGGAACGCCTCCTGGTCTGGGCTCAGCACAACCTGCTCTCACTGAGAGCAGCGCACGTGCCTGGTCACCTGAATGTGGGACCAGACAGACTGTCCAGGAACAATGTTCCAGCAGGGGAATGGTTGCTGCACCCGCAGACTGTCCAGCTGCTGTGGAAAACGTTCGGCAGAGCACAGGTGGACCTATTCGCGTCCCACGAAAACGCTCATTGCCCGGAGTTTTTCTCGAAAAGCAAGGACGCGCTGGCTCATGTTTGGCCCCGCTGCCCCCTATATGCTTTTCCTCCTGTCTCGCTCCTGCCTCAGGAGTTGGAACGAATCAGGGAGAACGGATGCCCAGTGCTGCTTGTAGCTCCGCTCTGGACAAACCAGACGTGGTTCCCTGCCCTGATGCAGCTGACCAGCACTCCCCCATGGCCTGTACCATTGAGGAGAGATCTCCTCTCTCAGGCGGAGGGCTCGATTTGGCACTCTCGCCCGGAGTTGTGGTCCCTGCACGCCCCAGCTCCGTCTACCAGGCGGCTCTACTCCTCGAAATGGTCTGTTTTCTCTGCATGGTGTCAAGCCCAGAGCTTTTCACCTGTGGAATGCGGGGTTTCGGAAGTGCTTTCCTTCCTTCAAGAGCTACTGGATAAGGGCAGGACCCCATCCACGCTCAAAGTATATGTGGCGGCCATAGCAACGTTTGCAAAACCAGTGTCTGGCCAGTCGCTGGGGAAAAACGACTTAGTCGTGCGTTTCCTTAGGGGAGCTCGGAGGCTGAACCCTCCCAGGCCCCCTTCAGTCCCGACGTGGGACCTTTCCACGGTCCTGGAGGCCATGAAAGGCGCCCCGTTCGAGCCAATCCAGCTGG